GAAGAAAGTTGAGGCACAGAGTCTGTTCTGGGCACCAGTCATTGAGTCCTCCTCCTGTCAGCTACCATGGCAGCATTTGGCCTGTGTGAGAGTTGAGAATAATCAAAATTTGCCAGTTATGGCAAATCGTGCCAACAAGTTTTGAATAAGAAATAACGCAGTTCGAAGTTTGTTGTTTTCTTTTTGGATGATTTAATTTTAAACAATGGTGTAATGTCACTTTTAGAAGAAGACACTTTCTAATGTGATGATGCAGTATCATGAAGCAGAAATATGAGCTGTTAGTGTGTGTGCTGCATTAAACTTCTTCCCTAATGAGTTTGAAGCTTGGGATAGTAAAGTCCAGGTATCCTTTTCTTCTGCTCCTTATGCTGTTAGTCTACTTATTCCAGTATCTGTACGGTGCTTCAGCTGCTTGCACCATGTTCTCAGAGGAATGGTATAACTTGCAGTCTTGGTGTCAACACAAATACATTTAATATAAAATAATTTGAATCAGAATATAAAAATGGATACATTCTGATGAGTTGAGTTAGTTCTTGTGTAAGAAAGAAGTGTTGTAGCACTAGCATGATGTGGAAGCACTCAAGCAACCAGAGAGTCAGCAGGGAAGCTGAGCAGGAAAGAGTGGTTCAGCAATTTTCAGGAGAGTATTTGTGCCTCGTCCATATCTATTTTCATTAATTTAAAGAGAATGCGTATAACACTTGTTACTCGCCTTTAGGCAATTTCTAAATATGGTTTGGAGAATCTGCTTCTGCAAGTTGTATCCATTGCAAAATACAGGAAAGGTTGAAAGTCATAATCCAGGACTACTGACCCCAAGGTCAGTGTATTAGTTTCTGATGTCAAGGTATGATGCAAAAAGAGAAGTGAAGCTGTGTAAAAATTCCTTCTTTTCATGTGTTGGGGAAAAAAGGGAAGACTTTGCATTTGCTGATAGTGGAAACAACATTCCTATCAAGAGAAAGAGGTGATTGATTCATTTATATATTTCTTTCTTAGTGTAGGACTATTGTCAAATTTTGTCACGGCTCTTTCTGAAGTGGATGAGAGCTGAGTTTGCACTTGGTCCAGTGGGGATCCCTGAGGTGGGACAGCAGTTGTTTCTTTCTCCTGTTGGGGCTATTTTATGAAATTATTATGTGTTCACTTTTGAGTATTTATATTTTTTATGTTAAGGCTTTATGTTAGCTGTAGGAATCAAAAAGAAAATGGATTAATATTGTCCTTCCTAGAATGGTTCTTTTCATAGCTGACTCTCACACAGCTTTTGAAATAGCATTGTGTTTCAGGTAGAGACAACTACAGAAAGAAATTCAGTTATTGGTTAGTTTACAGTAGTAATGACTACATTTTTTTACTGATTCATTCTTTTGCACCTTTAACAACATTTGCTTAGAAGGAAAAGAGAAGAAAGACAAATTGGTATTATACAGAACAAAAATTATCTATCGAGTTCTCATCAATTTTGCAGTTATCTCTACGTTAAATTAAAGATCAGTGAAGGAGAAAAGTAGATTACATTTTCATTGTGAGCTAGAAAATAGAAATGCGTGTACAACAGGTATACAAAGTAGCTAATGGAAATAAATTTTTAAAAGGCTATGTGTTACAGATAAATGAAAGTAATTTTTAAATTATTCATTAATTTCTTAATTCAGAGGTGTTTTCACAAAACCAAAATAAATTGCCATGCATGATTATTTGAGAGAACCTTTAGTTTCCATACCTTAGAGGTCCAAATCTTGAATATTAACTTGATCAAAATATCAAGAACAAGGAAGCGGAAAACATATTACTGTTTAATGTGCAAAATACAGGCAAAGGCTTGCCATAGCAACTGGCAGTTAGGTGAGACGGGTGCTGTGGTACATGGGCCTGCACTGTGCTTACCTCTTTATTACCCAGGATTGCACACGGGAGAGATTTTCTTAGTAGTTGGAAACTGATCTATTTGTCAATTTGATTGTTTTCATTCCATTTTTAAATTGCTGGGTGAAGATTGCATGTGTGCTGTTTCTGAATAGCAGTGTGCTCCTTTCCTGTCAAAACCAAGGCTTTTTATAAAATAAAAGTCTTTTCATGGGTGTAAGATACGTTATTAGTGCTCGTCACTGTCTTTATGAAAGTATCAGGTACATGGGATTTATAGGATTGAGACTGTTGACTAAATTGATGTCTCTGTTTTTCTCCTCTTGCAAATTAAAACTCTGTTTTTTTGTTGTTTTTTTCTCCTGTAAGTGGAGGCAAAAAAGTAGCTGGTGTCCCTTCTTACATCTTCTCCACTCAAAGCTACTTCCACTCAAATGACACCGTTGCCAAATCTGTGAAAAACGTTAGTATCTTGGCCTTACAGCTATGTATCACGCACATAAAACAAATATGTTAGTGTGTTAGCCTTATAGCTATATATCACGTAAGTAAAACAAATGTGTTAATATGTTAACCTTATAGCTAATTTTTGAATTGGCTTTTCTGGAAGACCTGCCTGTTGTTACTGTATTTCACAGAAATACAATTTTTTTTAGCTTTAATTTTTTTCACTTGCTTTATTGTGTTAGGCAGTTAAAATGCATTTTTTAAGTTATATTAATATGGCCAACTTGTTGTCATACAAAAGAAGAGTACACTTGGAAAAGGCCATATGTTCATGGAAAGGTAGTCTTGGAAGGTAGGATATTTGCTTCTTTTTTTTTTATGCCATCTGGTATGTTTTAACTTCATTTTCTCCAGATACCATGTCAGATAAATATTCAGATAATAGATCTGAATTTGAATCAGGAATAAGGAAGCAAGATTATTATTTCCAACGGCTTTGTCATGGTTTAACCCCAGCTGGCAACTGAGCCCCATGCAGCTGCTTGCTCACTCTTCCCTGGTGGGATGGGGAGAGAATCAGAAGGGTAAAAAGGAGAAAACTCATGGGTTGAGATAAAGACTTTAATAAGAAAAGCAAAAGCTGCCCATGCATGCAAAGCAAACCAAGGAATTTGTTCACTTCTTCCCACGGTCAGGCAGGTGCTCAACCATCTCCAGGAGATCAGGGCTGCATCGCGTGTAATGGTGACTTGGGAAGACAAATGCCATCACTCCAAACAACTCTCTTCTTTCTTTCTTCAGCTTTGCATGCTGAGCATATGGTCATATACTCATATGGTCTAGAATATTTCCTGAGTCATTCAGGATCAGCTGTGCCAGCTGTATCTCCTCCGAACCCCTTGTGGTCCCCCCAGTCTCCCTGCTGGTGGTGTGAGGAGCAGAAAAGGCCTTGGCTCTGTGTAAGCACTGCTCAGCAATAACTAAAAAATCCCTGTATTATCAGCAGTGTTTCCAGCACAAATCCAAAACATAACCCGTACCAGCTACTATGAAGAAAACTCTGCCCCAGCCAAAACCAGCCCAAGCTTTATGATTACTTTAGTCAGATGCTTAAACCGGGCTTTTTTGGACGTGCCTAACTGCTCTTTGATATTATAACCGTTAAAATTCAGAATTAGGATCATACATTTTGACTATGTAGACAGCTAAATATTACTTTTATTTAAACAATGAAATATACTGAATTCCTCATATGAAAACAGGAGATGAAAAGATATTTGCAATACTTCAGTGCTCTAAAATAAAATAAGTGAGCAAACATTTTGAATTTCCCCCAAGCAGTTTGGACTGTCATGAGGTAAATTCACTGCTGCTCCTTCCACTTGGAGTTACTCATTCATGTATATGTGCCATTTCTTCCTAAGCATCTAGGCCAGCACAAGCATTCTTCCAGCCACAGAGATTAGGGAACTGATCTAGGTTAAGACTAATCCAGTAGATATACACAAATCTGCTCTCTTATCTGATCCACTGGTCCACATCCAGTGGTTGGTTGTTGGTTGCTGCGGAGGAGGAGTGGCATTGACCAGCAGCGCCTGGCCTCTGGAGCAGGAGGAACCTTTAAGTAGAGCATTGAGTTGTTCCCTCTAACATGATGAGTAAGGGGGCTACACCTTGGGGATTGCGCATTGAGAATAGTCCCGAGTTCCAGGAAAATTGAAGAAGTAAGGAAGTAAAATCTGATGCCCCGTAGTTTTCAGGCTTTCTGCTGAGGTGCTAGCAGAGCCCTCATTTTAGCAGGACTTCTGGATTGATTTAGGTTCCAGGTCTACTTTGGGAAACCTAAAAATCCTTTGGTCCTGTAGACAGTCCAAGTGTAATCATGCAAAGATATTTTCACCAATTGTTGATGCTGTTTATAAGAGTAAAATTAAATACAAGGCTCTGGTTAGGCCGAGTTCATGATTCTCCATCACATGTTCAAGCCACAGAATTAGCTGTAGTTACGTTTTGTCTTACAGGAAAAAACTACAATGCATTTTAGGGGAAAATGCCTACAAGTCTAAAATCTACTTCCAATGGTATCTAAGATACTTTGGGGCTTTATGCTAATTTATATATAGGAATATGTGTGTGAGCGTATATATAGAGAACAGTGTGTATAGAAACTAGATATCAATAAGCAAAACTGGGCATCTTTTTTACAGTTTTGGTTCTCTGAAGTTTTATGGTAGATATTTTCAAGAATATCTCTTTTTAAAACTCTTTTCATCCATTCTCCAGCTGTATGGGTTCTATTCCTATAGCCTTAAATTCTGTAGAAGGGTGAAGCAGTGGAGGGAAATGGCCACTGCCCTTGTACGGTAGGGTTTTCTTCTGATCTTGTGTTTATGGTCAATGAAGAAAGAGAGATTCTTCTAGAGGACAGTTCAGAATACAGCTGTATGTAAGGTCAGATTAGATTATTTTAAGTCATACTTTGGACTCTGCCTTTCTTCGCTGACTGCTGAGAGCACCTAAGTAAACTCACATTTTTGTTCAATGTTTGCTTTTCTGAAAGCACCCGTTATTTTTGTGTAGCAAAGCAATCCGATAGAGAAGCCGAGGAGTCTATGAGAAGTGCAGGTATCAATAGCTTGTCTTTTTGCAAATCTTATTTTAGATTTATTTCATTGCAGGAAGAAGAGGCTTTATCACAACCAAACAGGAAAAGAAACATACAGACTTGAGGAAACAGCACTTCTCTAATTCTTTCCAAAAGTTAAGAGATTCACCAAAATTTGGTGGATTACCTCCACCGGTCTTCCTGATTTGAGGTAGGTGAATTCTCCCTTTGCCACTCTTTTTCTTCCTGTCACATATATACGGATAGTAAACACATATGTGAGCAGTAAACACAGTGATTTCAGATCAGATGTTTTAAAATTTTTTTCTATTTTCTTTGATATGAAGAGAAATAATGGACTTTTACTAGACTGGTGTTGCAGGCAGCATTCTTTATCTGATGGTAATATAGTGCCACCACTAGAAATTAATTATACCATGTTCATTTTTAGTATTATGGATGACAGTGCAATTACTAAATATAAATTTGTGTGACTTTTGCACTTATGAAGATTAAAATAGCAATTGTTAGAAATAAAATCAGACAAAATCAGACCAGATCCTTGTAAATGGGTCCCAAAGCTTTTGCTGTTTTTTTCCAGCATGAAGCCCATGGCTCTGAGTTGGTATTAACTCTTTTGGAAGAGTGATTTTCAGTTATGCCACTGAGTAAAAGGGAGAACAACCTGAGAAGCAGCCAGTAATAAAGTTGATTGGTTTAGAAAAAATGTATTTAAAACCTACCTGAATTAAAAAAGGGACTGGTGGGCTGCCATTCTCTTTCTGTACTCATTTGTGACAGAGCACAGTTGAAAAGTTGTTGTGCTTCTTTCTCTTTGTGGGAGTTCACTTTTTTCTGTTTGTTGGGAGTTTTGTTTTAGTTTTTTGGTTGTGTTTTGGGGTTTTGTATTTTTTTTTTGTTTGGTTGTTTTTTTTGTTTTTTTTTCTGTAAAGTAGGGTATATTTAATTTCAGCTGTATCAAATGCCATAATTGGAAGAATATTGTGTGTATTTTCAGAGATTAGATGAGGACAGGACTTTTTTAATCTGTTAGCACAGACTTGTTATGTAAATAGAAAACTCACAAAGAGAATGAGACAGCACATGCACTGAAAAACAGATGTCTCTTCCCCAGAAATACATTTACCATTAGATTCCTGCAACTTGCTGAGAACTCTCTGGGAAGTTTATTGTTACAAATACGTATGCAATCAAAAGATAAATATATTGCAGTCACTGTGTAAGGCCTGTGCACTTTCTGAAGGATAAAGTGGTCTTGTCACAAATGATGTGGTGCTGTTGAATTACAGCTAGAACAGTCTGTGACAATCACCTTCATACGTTAAAGAGCAGACTTCCAAAGTATGAGTGTGTTTTTTCAATGTCAAGTGTCCTTTTTTTTAGTTGAAGAAAAACAAAACAAGCGTTCAGCACTGCCCTGCACAACATTCTTGTCTCTAAATTGGAGAGACATCAATTTGGTAGATGGACCACTCAGTGGATAAAGAACCAGCTGGATAGCTGCATGCAAAGAGTTGTGGTCAATGGCTCAATGTCCAGCTGGAGACCAGTAACGAGTGGTGTCCCTCAGGGATTGGTGTTGGGACCGGTCTTGTTTAACATCTTTGTTGCTGACATGGAGAGTGGGATTGAGTGCCACCTCAGCAAGTTTGCCAATGACACCAAGCTGTGTGGTTCGGTTGATACGCTGGAGGGAAGGAATGCCATCCAAAGGGACCTTGACATGCTTGTGAGGTGGGCTGATGGCAGCCTTATGAAGTTTAACCATGCCAAGTGCAAGGTCCTACACCTGGGTCAGAGCAATCCCAGACACAGGTACAGGTTGGGCAGAGAAGAGATTCAGAGCAGCCCTGCGGAGAAGGACTTGGGGGTGTTGGTTGATGAGAAAATGAACATGAGCCGGCTTCAGTGTGCGCTCGCAGCCCAGAAAGCCAACCGTATCCTGGGCTGCATCAAGAGGAGCATGACCAGCAGGTCGAAGGAGGTGATCCTGCCCTTCTATTCTGCTCTCATGAGACCTCACCTGGAGTATTGTGTGCAGTTCTGGTGTTCTCAACATAAAAAGGACATGGAACTGTTGGAACAAGTCCAGAGAAGGGCCATGAGGATGATCAGGGGACTGGAGCACCTCCCGTATAAAGACAGGCTGAGAAAGTTGGGGCTGTTCAGCCTGGAGAAGAGAAGGCTGCATGCAGACCTCATAGCAGTCTTTCAGTACCTGAAGGTGTCCTGTAAGGGTGCTGGGGAGACACTTTTCATTAGGGACTGTAGTGATAGGACATGGGGTAATGGGTTAAAACTGAAACAGGGGAAGTTTAGATTGGATATAAGGAAGAAGTTCTTTACTCTGAGGGTGGTGGAATGGGTTGCCCAGGGAAGTTGTGAATGCTCCATCCCTGGTGGTGTTCAAGGCCAGGTTGGACAGAGCCTTGGGTGATATGGTTTAGTGTGAGGTGTCCCTGCCCATGGCAGGGGGGTTGGAACTAGATGATCTTAAGGTCCTTTTCAACCCTAACTAGTCTATGATTCTATGATTGTATGAGAAAAGCTTCCTTTGGAGGTTTTTTCCAAACACTTATTTTTCATTCTTCCTCACAAAAACTGGCAGCTCCTACTAAAGGAAGATAGGCTAGTTAAAAGGAGAATGAAACAGAGACTTTCAGGAGGGGAGAAATAACCCAGAATTTACTGAATTAGCCATAAAAATTCTCTTGCTCATCACATAGAAGCCTTTTGATTGTCACCAGTCATCTATGCTAAGTATTTATCAAACTGTATTCCATAGCTGATCATCCGTCTCTGACTCTCCTATTTTGATGCTAGTATGTTTGTCAATGGCATTTGCATAATTAAGTTAATGTTACTTTTTTCAGCAGAAACTTTATTTCCGTCTTTGCTTATATATTTCCATAAGCTCACTATGGACATTTTTTGTCATTAATTTATTGTTACTATTTTATTTAGGTATAGGTTAAAAATCAGGGTTTTCATTTGAATTCATTTTAATGATGCTTTTCTGTAGATTTCTTGAGGCCTTTATTGAAGCTTCTTTAACTGATGCTACTTTAATCCTTAATACTGTCCATATGACCGAGGTATTTTAAGCCCTAATATGACTTGGGTTTCCTTCTTGGGTTATTTCATCTGCCTATTGCAATTGTTTCAAGTAAATCAGTTTTGCAGTGTTTGCTGCGATCAGCGTTACATGCTCAAGGGAAGTTCTTTATAAAAATGTCTCATCAAAACTTTTCAATGTGTTTAAGCATTAATAAATAATTTTACATGAAAAATGTAATATCCATGGTGAAATTATAGCCTAAAATGTATTTGTATGTAAATTCTTTAATGATAAGTTATACCATGTAACTAGGTTTTTTTACTGTAAAGATAAGCTATGTCGTGAAGCCGTGGATTCGTATTTGTCTAATTTTATGAATAACCTGCATAAAAATATTCTTTGCAATATTTCATGCAGCTTATATACAGCAGAAACAAGTTTAAATTTTCTGTCATTTCTACAAATTAAGAGGTTGTCATGCTTTAAGTTACACTGTTTAGATGCTTGATTTTAAGATCTAGAATTTCTGGAGTAATTTAGCAAACATTGGCATTCAGTTTCTTGATAAGCTGAAGCTAGTAGCTAAGGTAAGAGCCCAAACTTGTGAGTCCTGTGAAGGCTTCATGGGATAAAGTCTGGTGCATCTCATACTCCATGAGATTTGTATCATTCTCCTTTCACAGTTTGTCTGACTTTGTCATGAGTAGCCTTTACTGAAGCTCTATCCATCGAATACCCCAGTTCTTTACCTGCAGTAATTGTTTTTCAGTCACATATATTCAGTATTTTTATCCCTGTAACTCCATGCATTTATAAACTGACAGTTCTGTTTGTTCAACAAAGTTGTTTAATCCTTTCAACTAAGGGAAAGAGAATTTATTTTTCCAGTAGCCAGAATCTTAATTTTGTTAATGTATGTTTTGTTATTTATTTTAATAATATCTGTGGACTGGATGTACTTTGTTAGTATCCTAGATACATAAAAGACATTCAGTATTAACAGGTAAGCTGGTAATGTTAATACGCTAACTGTATAGTGCTCAAACATGGAAGCTGTTTAGTGTCCCAGTCTTCAAGAAAATCTAAATACATACTCAATATAGGGGAATAATTTTCAAAGTTATATTGGTTGTAGAAGAACTTTAGCAAGTTTTTCTTCTAAGTAGTTTGCATATAAATAAGCTGTCTACTAAAAGGTCTACTGGGTTGGTAAATGGAGTCTGAAACAACCGAGACACTCTTGTACTGATTTTTACAAAATGCTGTGCCCCAATTTTGCCCTTAAATTGGGAGTAAGGTGTTCAACTGATAACTCGTTAAATTAATGGTACTAATAAAGTTCATAAAAGCCAAAACCAGGTGTCCACCAAGAAAGCTAAAAGGTTCTGCTTATAAACTTAATGAAGATATTTTAATAATCATAGTGAGTACTGTATTTGTTATTTGCAGCTGGTATACTTTATGTGACTTCGTGCTTATACCCTTTTTGTCTAGCTTACCTGAAATTTTTCATTCACATATTGTGTCAATGAGTTTTCTGTTACGGGAGAAGGTTTTAACAACAACCAAGACCTTTACTATGATGACACATGGCCTTAGAAGAGATTCCGAATGTGTGATCTGAAAATCATAACAAATTAATTAGGCTTACTGTAGGATTCAAAAAGCTGGCTCTGTGGCATCTATTTTAATCAAATATTTATTCTTAAAAAAAAAAAAGAAAAATACACAATCATTCTGAATTTGTTAAAATGTGTATTTCTAATCCCTCAGGCTTTCAGGTATAATGTTTTAATGCTTACATTAACTCTATTGAATATGCCTTTAACCTAATGAGCTCCAATCCATTTCACCTCTGAAAGAACTAATTAGTTGACTTAAAGTCCTGCAAACACTGTTCACTCCTTTCAGTGTTAGGGAAATTGAAACTGGCACAATCAAAGCCTAACTAACTCTTAAACCGTGGGGGAACTGCAGGGCCATTTTGGTGGTGATTATGAAGGTAATGTCTCAATACAGGCAGATGTTACGGAACAACCCAAATTCTGGTTCATCTGCCATTTCCAGTATGATAACTCTTCAGACCCTAGGTTTTTTTTTCCTTTTAGTTGAATGTTTTTAGCATGAATCAATACAACTCAAGTTGTCTGAAGACACAACCTTTTTTGTATGTGTAGTAGTTCATAGAACTAGGCAGGGACACCTTCCACTAGACCAGGTTGCTCAAAGCCCTGTCCAACCTGGCCTTGAACACTGCCAGGGAAGGGGCAGCCACAGCTTCTTTGGGCAACCTGTGCCAGTGTCTCACCACCCTCACAGGGAAGAACTTGCTAATACCTAATCTAAATCTGCCCTCTTCTAATTTAAAGGCCTTAAACTTCCATCATAAGAATCCATATAGTTATACTTACAGAAATCTACCTATTCTTCTGGACAGTGAACCACCATAATGTAGTAAAAGGTATCTTTTTTTTTTAATCAGTTCTAGTCACAGCCATCCTACCTTTCTTTAAAAGCAAATAATGCGACAGTTTATAGTGCAAAGTAATTGGATTAGGGTTTACAAAGCAGTCAAGAAAAGTGAAATAAAAACATCTGGCTCATTCTTTAATTTAAATAATGCAACTGTCTCAACAGATGTAACGTGGGGTGCAAGAGTGCCTCAGATGAGGGCTGTACTAAAACAAGGAGCCATCCTCAATGGAAATAGCCCATTATTGAGATCTAACCAGGAGACTATCTAAAGCAAAGCTGAAAGTGCATCAAGAAATTTGAGAAGCCAGAAGATCCCCAAGGTATCTAGAAGCAAGACTATGAGGAGTAATGTAGGTAAGTATTCAAAAGTAAATCATTGCATTTATTAAGCTGGGCAACTTCTAATTTTATTTTGATAGTTTTATGCTGTGGTAGTAAAGCTTATTACAAAATGCACTTCAAGTATAATACAAAAGATCTGAGCCAGTGTTAACAGAAGAGCAGCAGACATCTTCAACATCTAATGGTGCTGAAGTAGAAAAGTAAACAATTTAGCAATTCATATCTTTGTACAAGATAGACAGCGCACCCATACATGGACTTTTTTGATAAGAGAACAAAGAAAAAAGCATTCTTGACCTAGATTTAACAGATTGTATTGAAACAGCATATGTAGCACAGTATTTTAATGGTTAGAAAATTACCGGTTTGTGACAATGTGATTCATATGGAGTATTAGTCATAATTGGTAGTAATATATTTTGACATAATTAAACAACAGAATTCCAGTTATCTGTATCGGAAAATATGCAGCACCATTCTTGACCTAGATTATATTGCAGTGGCAAAGTGAAGCTGCCTTGCCCAGAGATGAAGCCAGAACTTTACAGTAAAATAGAAAATGAAATGCTCTTATTCTTTTTCATTTTCATAATCAAAATATAAAGTTATTGTTATGTCAACAACCAGCAGATGGAGAAAAAGAATGTCCTAGGAAGCTCAAAGAACACACTAGAAAACTGAGCTATAAATACCAAGCTAATTCCATAGCTTTAAGATTTCTCCAAAGCTTTTTTAAATCCCTCCAGAAAAGACTGAAGAGATCTTTAATCTGAAGTGCCCCAGTTGAAGAACTGTGTACCTTTTTATTTTTAAATAAAATTATGTTAATTTACAGTAGATTATTTGGACATCTTAATGAATCAATGTAGTATGTATACAGTATTTGTTGCATCAAAATAAGGTTTTTAAACATGTCGGTGCATTCTCATTCTTATCAGTACTTTCTTCAGAGAAAATACAGAATTTCATCACCTCTGAACTGATGTATAGTGTGCCCACAGAATACTTGATGTACACAGCTCATGTTGAATCTGTATTTTTTAGAGAGCTGTCCTTTTCAGTAAAGAGAGCTAGCAAAAGAGCCATCTTCTTTGGTACGATATTATGAAAATTTGGAAGATCTTTTGGTATTTTTTTTCTTTGCGTTTGTAAATTGTACCTATGCAACCTAACGTTGTGGCTATGTTTAGAAATACGTGTTTTTTCTGGCTTCCATTATAAATTCCTGAGAGCAGGCTCTCAGGTTTCATGGCATTTCAACAAGGATGTTACTCTGTTGTAATTGAATTTGGGGAATCTGCAATGTGAACAGGTTCCAAGACAAGTGTCTGTAAGAAAACCTGGCTTATGAGATAATTGAATTGCTGAATTCTTCCTCCATAATGTTGGATGAGAAGATGTATACGCTTGTGTTACTGAGCACTCTGTAATGTTTCCTCTTGAAGTCAGCAAACCCAGTAGCTGATGGTGTCATGAGACAGTAATTACTGAGTGATGCTGGTTGGGAGTGATACCTGAAAGTCACACAGGATGGCTGAGGTTGAAAGAGACCTCTGGAAGTCATCTTGTCCAACCCTCCTGGTGAAGCGCAGTTACCTAGGGGAGGTTTCCCAAGATCATGTCCAGACAGTTTTTTTAATATGTCCGTGGGTGGAGACTCTGCCACGTCTGCAGGCAACCTGTGCCAGTGCTCTCTCATCCTCCCAGTAAAAAAGTGTTTCCTGATGTTCACAGAAACTCCTGTGTTTCCATCTGTGCCCGTTACCTCTTACCTTGTTACTAAACACAACTGAAAAGAGCCTGGCCCTCTCTTATTTGCACCCTTCTGACAGGTATTCATATGTGTTGAAAAGATCCTGCCAGATCCTTAATTTTCCTAATATTTCCTAAAACTTTCCATGTTGCACATGTGACTGCTGCTCATCCATTGACTGTGGATGTCAGAGGAGATTCTGGCTCCATCTTCTGCTTAACCATATGATAGCTAGATGAAGACAGGAGTAAGATCTCCCCAAACTTCTCTTCCTGAGCTTTGGATTAGATATTAGGAAGAAATTGGACCTGAGAATTGGTGGCCACCCCATCCCTGGAAGTGTCCAAGGCCAGGTTGGAGGGGGCTTTGAGCAACCTGGTCCAAACCTTTTGACCAGCCTAGTGGAAGGTGTCCCTGCCTATTTCGGGGGATTGGAACTAGATGGTTTTTAAGATCCCTTCCAGCCCAAGCAACTCTATAATTCTATGATTCTCCTTCCATAAGGAGAAATCCTTTAAATTCCTTTAAAATATCTCTTCCTTTGTGCACTTACGTTTTTCTTAAGGAAATGCATTAAAAATAATACCTTTTTCAGAAACTTAGGAGTTTCCAGTGCATGTTCCCTCTGTAAGAGGAAGACAACTGGAGAGCTGGCTAGGGGTGGGAATCCCAAATCTCCATTTCTAGAGCACTGGAAACTTTTTGTCTGACTTGGTATGTGTTCACTGTCAGTGAGACCTTAGGTATTTTGCAGTACTGGATACTGCCCTTTAAAGAAGACTTGTATCAGCCAGAAGAAAGCAAAGCAGAGCAACAAGCTACTGACAGATTTAGAAAGCAGGACTGTTAAAGAACAGCTGAAAGGATTCGGTTTGTTTATTCTAGGAAAAAAGAGAACATTGTAGGATGGGCATAAGGCTTTAAAAGGATAAGAGGTTTTTATAAAAGCAGTGTTGGCAGTTGCTCTGTTGAGTTTTTGGGTGTTGTTTTTTTTTGTTGTTTTTTTTTTTTACTTTTTAAAAAGGAAGTTCTGTTTCCAGAAAGGTTTATTTAGGATACATGTGAAGAGAAAACAGGCCAAGCTTTTTTGTTTTACCACATATCTGACTGCAAATATGGATGAAAAACTCTTATATTTTACCTCTGTCATGAAATCTATGATAGAAATTTTTAAAACTGCATAAAGAAGCAGCTTTCAGAGAGGATCTTGGTAATTCTGAGCATCCGTCACTGGGAGCGGGCTGAGCAGATTGTTCCTGAGATTCCTCTTCAGATCCTCAGTGTCTGTAATTCTGACAGTTTACTTGTAGGATTAGCTTTGTTTTGTTTCCTTGCAAACTTCTTTCTATTACTGATAATATATTTCAGCTTAATGTATGTGGTATTTAAGGCCTTTACATGTGGGAGTTTTCATAACCAAAAAAATGAAACAGAGGACCTTTCTTTCTTCAGTAAAATGCTTTGAAATGCTGTCATTGCAAATGGAGTGAAATTCAGGTTCAGGAACCTTTGGAGGTTTGCCAGTGATTTTCTTGAGTGCACATTTCTATTGAAATGGTAGGCTGAAGTGTAACATAAAAAATAAATACATGCAAAACAAATGTGGGAAGCTATCATACCTGTCTGTAGCTTGAATTTGTATTTCTTAGATTTTTCTGCCAAGACTTTATGGCATTTTTTCATGACACTAATGGCTTTAGTTATGGTAGGGGTTTTTTGTGACAGAATATGTTTATGTTACTAAATGAATTCTTTTGATCTCGCTTTAAATGCATTGTGATGAAGAGCTGACTAGTTCTTTGCCTACATTTTTTCCAATAGCTCATTTCTTGGAGTATAGTTCCAGAACATGCTAACTGTGTGTTGCATCCCTACTGTCTGCATTTCCAGAGGGGGTTTTTCAAGCCTATTTGGAGAAAAAAGAACTGTTTGAGTTGTAAGTTAGTATCTGGCACGATACATTGTCCTTTGATTGGGATGAAGTAGTGTATTTTCTAGGTTCTTATCTTTTTTGGAACTTTGTTGTTAAACTCTTGGATGTACTGCGTCCTTAAAGGGACACATGGTTTTAATTTCTGGGTGCTTGTGGTCCTTACTCTTATTTTTCTTTTCTCTGCTTTAATGAGCTAGTGGAATTCTGTGTACTTGTCAAGCTTGAATGTGATTCACCCTTTTGTTTAGTTCCTTCTGAAGAGAATCAAACAGTTTTTGTCTGGTTTAGCATATGTGCCGTCTCTTGCATGTGCAGTAAAATCAGGGTTTATAGCACATTAGGTGAGCAAAGCCATGGATACCTGGCAGGACAGAGTTAAGCACTGTTACCAGGCATCATCTTGCTTTACATTAAAACCAAAGGATTTGGATGGTAAAACATCTCCAAGGAGACTTTCACAACCCCTGTACTGAAGATGAGATTAGAATGCTTTTCATTATCATAAAAACAAAGGTTTCCCTTTCCAGGAGCCAGACTGCAGTCTTCACAGTTTATTGGACAATGAAATTTATCCTTATTAAGGTGTCAGTGTGAACACATCTGATAATTATGCTATAAAAATTCAACCTCAAAATACACAGACTTGGACATTTAGGTACTCTTGCTCATTTTGGTAGGTTAAAAATACCTTGGTTTTCTTAAAAGTAAATCTCTGAGTGAATGGGATGGGACAGCCACACAGAAAAGAAGTTTTTCACTCAAGCACAAAATCTTCTTTGAAATTAGTGGTGTGCGTACAGTCAAGAACTTTGTTGCTGAAATACATGTTAAACTTTAGTAAGTTTTTTTTAAAATAAGTTTTATGTTAGCATTTTTTTAAAATATTAGATTAGAACTGTGCTTGTCATGTTTTATAGAAACAAAGTGTGTACAAAATACAAACTGGAAGCAGTTATTTCAGAGTTTCAAAGGAGGAATAATATTCTAGGAAACCTCTTTGATTAATTGTTTATAAATGTGAAGAAATAATTAAAAAGACTCCAGGGAGACCTCATTGCAGCCTTTCAGCTCTTAAAAGGGGCCTATAAGAAAAATGGGGAAAGACATTTTAGCAGGGCCTATTGTAATAGGAAGAGGGATAAAATGTTTTTAAACAAAGAGAGTACAGATTGAGGCTGGATTTGAGAAAAAAATTCTTTACAGTGATGGTGGTCAAATACTGGCACAGGTTGCCCAGAGGTGGGGGATGCACCATCTGTGGAGACATTCAAGACCAGGCTGGATGTGGTTCTGGGCAATCTGATCTAGTTGCAGATATCCCTGCTTCTTGCAGGGGGATTGGACTAGATGGCCTTTGGAAGACACTTTCAGCCCAAACTATTCTATGATTTAAGATTGAAATCTTAACATCATAAGAGGACTGTATCAACTGATTACTACTGTTTCAACTGATTCTTTATTTTTCAGCTTGGAACAAACAAGATGAAGATACCCACCTTCAATCTAACGCTTAATGAGGAAAAAGGTCAGGTTTTTTGTTGGTTGGTTGGTCAGTTTTTTTTTAATCCTATGCCCTCCTGTTAATTAGTATATTAAGAAGTACTTTGTAGTATTTTGTATGTGAATTACTTACTTCAGAGACCTTAAATAACAAACCAAATGTGATGTTTAATATAAGGATGAGAAAGAGTATTTTTAAATCAATCGGTATATTCATAAATTAGCTGACACAGACCAGTGTAAGTAGAAAAAGAAGCTATAGAAGATCATGTATACAAACCTTCATAGAGATTCATTTAAAAGTGATTAAACTTACAAGTAATGGACCTCTTGTATATCAAGAAAAATTATTGTCATAATTTTTGTGGAGTGAAAGCATTTAAAAGGATCAAAATCACTCACTTTTTTGTTTTATAAATGTCCTTAACTTCTGAGTCCTCTTTTAGAAAACAGAGGGAACTCTCTATCTCTTAAATAAAACAGTGGGGCCAAATTCTCCAAGTACTTACACATTCAATTAGTGTATCACTCAAAGATAGCAAGTAATAACCTACTAATGCCAACGATTCATCTATCATGCTGTACAGGTTTGTAGCATACCACATTTCAGAAAGGCAGCCCAAGCTCTCAAACACTATTGCCCTTACGCCAGATAAGGCTGTAGAGTTTGCATTAATGTGTCTGAATAGCTGATTTTTATGCTATCATATTTTTTTTTAATATCCTAAGAGTATTTTCATTAGGGAAATTGCTGAGTAGAGCCACATAATTCAGTAAACAATTTAAAAAATAGCACTTGGAGAAAAAAATCCATGTGTCTAAAGATAGTAGGGTCATGTGACTTACTACTTTGGCACAAAAGTATAATTTACAGGTTTAATTTGCGGTCCTACAATGTGTCTGACATTCTCTTGCACAGAAATTCAGTTTGAATTATTCAGATTATCTAAATATTGCTGTGTCCTGAATTTAAGGTGTCTAATACAAAGAAAGCTCATATAATTTATTTAGACCTCTGCATTTAAGATATGGGAGTATGAGTTTCATTTTTACTGTTTATTTCTTAATTTTTTATGTCACTGTGCACAGTTAATGGGGATCAGGGGCTAATCCAGTAATTGTTATGCCAGCACCTTGGGGCCTTTCACCATATTTCCAGCAATCTGACTCTTTACTTTTTTTAACTGCTTACATAAAATCTAATTGAGTTTTCATATTCAGGTTTTGAAATAGTCACAAAGTTTTCTTTTCTTTTGAAATTAACTTTTTTATTGTATTTCCCTAGTAATGGGTAAATCAATAGCGTAGGCATCTGTCAAGTAGAACTGAACACTTACAGATAGTTATTACATATGTATTTTCTGCATGTATTTATTAGATAGCTTAAGAATGTTCTGTATGAGATGTTCCTTAAATTTATATTGTCTTCATTCTAAAACCATTATTAAACTGTATTTGATAATTCCAGAATTTTGGAACCCCAAATCATGATAATTGAAACAAGTGTGTTATTTGTTTATTCATGTGGTTGGATCTTTTGAAGTAATTTTAGCTTTGGTCTCAAACTTTAAAGTATTTATAGCCAAATCCTTTCAATTCTATGTTAATTTTAACTTTATCACTTTTTTTTTTTTACAAATGTGCATATCTTCAGTGGTTGTTTTCTAATGAATCAGTGTGCTATGTTAGTGAGAGCGATCCCACTGTAACAAAGCAGATTTTTGTCTATTAATATCCTCTTCTGTTGTGGGAGTTTGGCTTCAAAGGTCTGACTTCTCTCTCTTGTAGGCAAAGATTGCCTTTTTTTTTTAACTTCCACATTTAGCAGACGTCTTTTTTTCTTGTCTTGGAGTTGTGGTGACTTTCCTTCCTCTAGAGCTTGATAGTTCAAACAGAATGACAGTTAATATAGAAAAGTTTCAGTGTGATATGTGAAGATATGTGAAACCACAGAGAATTAAGATTTACACATGCTTTTTCCAAAATACTAAATTTTGAAAACATATTACAAAAACAAAATAGTTTTAAGAATTGTACCTTACGTACCTTATGGCAAGATGAGTTTTGGAGGAGACAGAAATTCCTGTTCAGACAAAACCTAAAGGGAACTCAGAAAAAGTGGCCTTCTCAGTTGCAGAACTGATACGTACTGGTGGTACATCATTGCTGTGTGATGAAGAAAGCAGAAAATAACAGAAGAAAAGCCATTCAAAAAAAGAGTTCAGATGTAATTTCTCTTTATACTGGAGAAAACCTATTCCTTAAATCCTCAGCAAGGAACCTTGTTTTGCAGCTCTTCTCTGCTGCAGAATAGTTTGCTTGTCTTGTTTCAAAGAATAAAAAAAAATAGTTTCTGTAAGGCTGTTGAACCTTTTTGCCTGCAGGTTGAAACAAGACCATTGAAAATAGCTTTTGCCCATTGAAATAAACCCCAAACAAAACAAAACAAAAAAAAAAAAACCCAGAAAACAAAAACATCCGAGTCCAGGATTGCTTTTCCTAGATTTGTAGGTAGCTGAAGATGGACATCGTTTATAAATTCCTTATTTTATTATACAAGTTCACCTAAAGTGACAATGGTTGTAATACTGTTTCTTCACTTATTATTAACATATAGCTTGATAATATTCTATTTCATAGTATTCCCTAGTAAATATTTTGATAATGGTGATGTGATTCTTACCTGCAGAATAACTTGATTGATTTAAATTGCATACCAGATATTAATCTTGATGTAAAAATAAATAAATAAATAAATCTGAGTACTTACATTATTTTGAAGAAAAGTAGGCCTTACACACACGCACACAGTTTTGACCTATTTCTCTTGTAAAGAAAAAAATTAATGTGGTGGAAGGCCTGAAAGAGCATTGTGACTCTTCTGTATTCTTCAGTGGATTCTATCTGTTGTATTTATTAAATTCTTATTGAGTAGACAGAGCTGAGGTTTTAAAAAGAAAATCCTTTTGTTTCCTGCCATGTTTTTTGACTGTCATGTAGCTCACTGTTGCTTTTTTGTCAAAACTCTCTCAGAGATGCTGTGTGTATGAATACATGCACATGTGTACACAAAGGGAGTTCTCAAAAGGGTGTACTTTCTCCATTCTTTTATTGGAAAGGGAAAACCTCAGTTGCTCCCAACTCCAGAGTTATGCAGATAGATGTGTTAAAAGGCAGTCATACCTTGGGAAAGTTTCTGGGTTTTAAGGATACAGTGCACCTCAATGAACTCTTAATTTTCACCTGCACTATTAACATTGGTTGGAAGTATATCACATATACCACTTCTGATTATTTAACAGCATGCTACTCCAAAATGATCCTATGGAAGAGATTGCTATTTTGTGCTTTTAATCATCATGCTTTTAATGTAGAATCTGTGAACATAATCAAGTCTTTCTTCATGAGAATCTTGTCCTTATTGTTTTATTAGGGTAGATTCCTTAATAGTCGGTCTGAAGTGACTGTGTTGGTCGTATAGTCTGGCAGCGTAGGAAACCAAATACTGCAGGGTGCTGTCCACCCGCAGGCAGGTGAGCAAGGCTGGCTGAGCTGGGGCATGTCCAGTGGACTGCTGGTGACTGTCATTGACTGTGGGTATAGACACAGGTACAGAGGCTTTGACGAAGGTTTTTTCACTATTTATGAGTGAATTCATCCAAATAGCTATCATTTTATAGAGTGGTTAAATTGTGTGTCTTACAATCCTAAAAAGTTCTATAGAATCAAAGGTAGTATATATTAGGAATATATAAGCCTTGCTACAGTACATTATAAAACTGTCCTTTATACAGTTAAAAATAATTCAGTACCAAAGGTAGTTGGACTGATATAAACTGATTTGACAGTAGGGCAGTTTAAAATGTATTGTTTTAATTCAGTCATTCAGCGAAGATCAGCTTTCTGGTTGTTGCAATGTATTCTTAATACTCTGTATTTACGAGTAATATAAAGATGTCTTTCTCAAAGCAAAGGCCAGAGTATATCATATATATAGCTGTATTAGTGTCTTGGATGCCAATACAATGAAATACAGTTGAAAGAAAGGTTTCCTTTATGCTTCAGGCACATTTGTTTGTTGAATCACTCACCTAAAAATAGGGCTTTATAAAGTGTTCAATACCAATCTAATTAGTCAAGAGAATGCTTCTTTTCAAAATGGAAAAGCGTTCCCAAAAAGTGATGCAACATTTGTATCTCATTAGGTGATACAGGAGAATCCTAACTAATTGCTGTGATAGACTTAAAGAGATTAATAATGTGCAAGCGATAACTAATGAAAACTCATTTTAACTCTCTGGTTTAAAAATAATGCTGTTTAAGACGCTAAGGCTTCCTGTTATTTTTGAAACCCCAAGACCATGAAGGTGTTTCTGTTTCGGAATGCGTTTTGTAGGGTTTTCTGTGATAGAAAGGAAAGCCTGGAAAATGACATTTCAGACAGTATCTATAAGCAGTGTTTTGTGTACGTTTTACTTTATACCCAAAATCTGGTCATTCCTTAAGTAATCACTGGGTTTGTACATCAGAGAGGTATACGTTGATTGTAGACCTCTTAAGTAGCCTTTGCAATACATGTAACTGTTAGGCACACTTTGAAATCCATGTAAGGAGAAAGTAATGGAGCATGTTTGTCAGAATTTGTGTTAGCTGGCTTTACATCCACTTATTAATAAAATAAACGTTATATTGGTATTTGTATGTGATAGAATGTGAATCCATGCTATTAGTATCTCATTTAAGTTTCTTTTGACTTTGCACCAAGTTTTCTATTTCATCAGTTGACTAAAAAATTGTTAGAGTAAACATTAAGAGCTGACTGTGCAAAGAGGCTTCCTAAAATGCAGTATTTCAAAAAGTGAGACAGTTGCATTAAGAATTGAAAACATACTTTCAGTATATGAAAACTAAGGAGAAATAGGGGAGGGTTTGATGGAGCTAAAGGGGGGAAACAATTCAATGTAGTTTTGCATAGTTCTCCAATGAAATATTTTTAAGCACATGAATGAAACTGAACTGCAAAACAAATCTAAACGGCATGTCTTGGCACACAGAAAAAAAGAAGTAATTGATTTAGATGTGGAAAGTTGTGTTAACTTGTGGTGAGATAACATGAGTTGTCTGGAGTTGTTACGAGATTACAGAGAAGAGGTATTTATTACGTGGGTTGATGAAAATCAGGCATTTGGACAGAATCCAATGTCCAGAATACTTTGAATTTGATCCAAAATCCAAACACTTTCTATCCCAATCCAGAGTACTTCAGATAGAATACATTGTTGGAGAAGGGTAAAATGGTACATCAAGGGATGAGATTTTTCTGCAATCAAGTTGGAAGGTTCTGGACTGGTAAGAAATGTAGAGTCATAGTCAAATGGATGCTCTGAATGTCAGAGCATTCACGGTCAGGCTGATCCCTACTGGGATTTAAATGTCTTTTTGATCACAGAGCACTTTGCCAGACTTGATAGAGTAGTGCCGCTGTCACCTCCAGTTGTCCCTTTAAACTTACAGCTTCGCATCTAGGCTGCCTTATCATATAAAACATTGCAAAACGAGCCTATGCCAGCACTAAGGTGAGAAAGACCCAGACCCAGCCTGGTTTAAATAACTCACCCTGATTTTCACTGCTACCTTCCTTAGATCCTTTTTTTTTGTTTGTTTGGCTGACACCCAGTTGTTGGGAAATGCAAAGGGTGTCCTTTGATGAATTGGGTTTGAGAGAGTTTAACTCTTCTTGAAGAGACAGGTACTATGTTTAATTTTTCTATGGTGTTACAAAAATAAAACAGTGACTCTGCACATGCAGTTTAGTGAAGGATTTCAGTACCAAACCTTCGCTGGCAAACTCTTAACTTCTGCCATTAATGCCAGATAGAAAAGTGCAATGCTTAGCAGATGTACTGGGTATTTTATTGCCTGCAGTTTGTGGAAATCTGGAAATCTGCACAGAACCGTGCTGGAGTTTAGTCAAAAAATCTCACTTCTGTGTGTTCCTATACAACATGATTAGTTACACACTGATTACCTATGTACTTCTACATGGCTAGTTACACACTGATTAGCCATGTACTAAGAGGCTTCCAGGAAGTTTTATCCCTCCTTTACATGATTCATTGCACACAGGCACATTGGTGTGTCCTTGCAGACTGCAGCTTGCATATGAGCACAGTAAATTACAAGATAAATGGTCAAACATCAATACTGTGAATAGTCTAGTTTACTATTTCTGATTAGGATGAGTGTGATATTTGGGGTATTTTTGTACCTGGAGAAAAATGGAAAATGGATCATCATACCTATGCTCTGATTCGTTCTCATTTTTGACATCACTCAAATCCTTGTGTTAGTTTGCAATTCTTTAGTCTCTAGTACTCCTAAAGAAAAAGTGATCCACTCTAGTGAGACCCCACCTGCAGTACTGTGTCCAGCTCTGGGACCCCCAACATAAGGACATGGACCTGTTGGAGTGAGTCCAGAGGACTCCATGAAGATGCTCTGGGGGCCAGAGCACCTCTCCTGTGGAAACAGGCTGAGAGAGCTGCTCTTGTTCAGCCTGGAGAAGGCTCTGGGTAGGCCTTAGAGCAGCTTCCGTTACCTAAAGGGGCCAAAAAAAAGCTGGAGAGGGGCTTTTTACAAGGGCATGTAAAGACTTGACAAGAAGAAATAGCTTTAAACTGACAGAGATGAGATTTAGATTAGATGTTAGGAGAAAGTTCTTCCCTGTGAGGGTGGTGAGGCACTGGCACAGGTTGCCCAGAGAAGCTGTAGCTGCCCCTTCCCTGGCAGTGTTCAAGGTCAGTTTGGATGGGGCTTTAAGCAGCCTGGTCTAGTGGAAGGTGTCCCTGCCTGTGACAAGGAGATTGGTACTCAGTGGTCTTTAAGGTCCCTTCCAACCCAAACCATTCTGTGACTTTTATTCCAATTCACTGTACTGAGTAAATATGTTTAAGTATTTCCCAAAGAAGAAGCAGTTAATTGAATTATTTTGCTTCTTTTAGTACTATTTCAAGCTATATGCAGTATAGAAAAATGGTTTATCTTGACTAGATGATGAGTATTATGGTTGTGATGGAATGAGATGTTAGCTGAGGCAAGACATTGCAGAAACAGTAGAAATACAAGGGTTACTTCAAAGCATGTCTCTTGCTGCTTTTGCAAAAAAAGAAATTGATGGCTGTTATTTTCTTGTAATGGATCCAGTGCAGTTGCTCTAAATAGCAACATGATCCACAGCAAGACTAGGCTAAGAGTTGAGCAGCACTTTCTTTGTGCTTCTAGCATTTTAAATATGTATTTTCTGATTCTGATTTTACTGTATTACAAAAGGTTAATTCTCTTTAAAAATATTAGGGAAATTATGTACCTGTTTCAGCCTTACACAAGACCTACAATAAAAATACCAGTGCAGCATTCAGCCATAATGCTGAAACTTGAAGGTAAATTCTGCCTTAGTTTTGATGAAGCATCATCTGCTACCTTCTTAATGAGGATAAAACCGATCAAATGCCAGGACTTCCACACTGAAAACCTGCTAGAGTCCTGAACTGTTGCCAAGTGCTCTCCAAATCCTATTTCTGTGCACCAGATTTAGAGATTAAAGGGTAGATTGTTTTCATAGGAGAGAGAGAGCAAGGTGCATTCACTGTAACCATTGCTGGTTGGTACCTGGTCACCTCACCGCTGTCAGTGTGCAGGGTCTCATCATTGTTTCCTTATCCCTTCCCTGATTTTGGCCGGCCATGGGTTACATCCTGTTGTGCTCTGGAGCACAACAAAGTTGAAACAGATCCTTGCAAAACAGTGCCAGGCTGTCCTAGAAGGCTTTGTCCTGCAGAAAATCATGTTCATTCTGAAAATTGCACTCTGTTCTTTAGATTTCAGTGCCTTAGACAAAGGGGGTATGTCCACCCGGCTCCTTTCTAGTCCACACCCTTCTTGTAAATACCATGGCCATTTATTTTTTTTTTCTTTATGTAGCATTTTGAACTTGACATTTCTAAGTAGCACATCTAAAGAGGACGTACTGCATATGTGTACCTAAGGGAATACTTTTGAGGAGTATATTTATTCCTCTGCACTCTTCCTTTAGTGGTCTTGAAGGAAGGATCTGTTGTGACTGTTAAATATAGATGTAATGCCTTGTTGGTATTGTTGTTGCAGAAATGTTTTAGGATCCTACATATTTGTGTTCCGTCTCTACATCAAGAAACCTTTTCTTATTAAAATCAGTCAGGTCTGTAGTAACACACACTATGTTTTAAAATATTAGCATAACATTAGTGTTAGGAATAAGGCAGAATTGACATGATTCCAAATAAAACCTGTTAACATTGTTACTATGGTAGTTCATCAGTGACATCTTACTTTTGAGTTCTAGGGCTTGGGGTTTTTTTCTGAGGTATTTACTATTTGAATTGCATATTCCGTGTTTGTCTTGCCTTAATAAAATGTCCTACCTCAAGAGTTAAGTCTCACCTGCTCAACTTGAAAAACTATTTTGGGGGACACCACACTTTACATCATTCTGAACTTCTTTCATGAAGATGTGCTTGTACAGTATAATCATAGGAGGGGAATTATTACTTATGATATTAAGATTGCTTCACAGATAATTCTGAGAGCAGTGTATTGATGCTGGCTTTTTCCTTATTATACAATTTTTTATAAGATTACTAATTTAGTCTAAATGCGGGGGGTTCCCATTGTATAGATATTACCAACCCTAGAACCATCTCGCTTCACATTAAATTCGTTCAACTTTATAAATTTTAAAGGGCATTAATTGAGCTAGTCATCTGTTGATAATTCTGAACAGAAGCATATGTAAAACTATTCAGTTAAAAGATACATCCCTTAATTCACCCAAACTGTACTTTAACTATTTAGTAACAGTTGCACTCTCATAGCTTTTAAGATGTAGCTCTGTTGCAACCCCATATAAATAGAACATGCTAGCAGGATTTTATTCACCCTAAGCCTTATTTTGATAGTTCCATTGACATTTAAAATTTTGATTCTAAGCTCTTTAAATGGATGCAGCTGTATACATCTTCCTGAGTTACAGAACTGTTCTGAAAGACTTCAGAAAATGGCTCATGTGTTTTCTGTATCTGTATTTTTCAGGCTGTTTTATTGGATCCAGGGAATCATGAAAGAAACTCAAGAAGACAACTTGGATAATGAATGGAAGATAAAAAGAAAACAAAAAGAATGTGGCATATAAAGGGTATAATACCTGGAGGTATTAGATCTGACTCATATTTATAAAAATGAGACAAGCTTTCACAAAAAACAAGTTATCTTAGACAGTCATCAAGCTTGGAGCCATGCTGTTGAACTAGAAATTCTCCTTTTCCCCATTCTCCTTTCTGACAGGTAACAAAGGATTGGTGAATTATGATTTTCCCAAGTTGGAAGCACTAATTTTTATCTATATAGTTCATCCTTATGACTATATAAGGAGTTAAACATTACATATTTAATGTGGATTATAATGGAAAAGTGACTCATTAACAAAAATGGCCACTTTTAAGGACTTGGTTTCAAGTTGAGCTGGAGCCTCCCAATGCACTTTGTACAGTTTGGGGAAAGGTGTACTGAATGGCCTTCTCTGGGGGGCCATGATGATATGTAGTAAAAGGATATCATCTTACTGTTGATATCTTTGAAGACTCATAAACAGAAACAGAAAAATGAATGGTGGAAAGGAGTGTGACGGAGGGGACACGGATGGAGGGCCACCAGCAGTGCAAGTTCCCGTTGGTTGGCAGCGAAGGGTGGACCAAAGTGGAGTGCTCTATATCAGGTAAGGTTATCTGAGGTGGTTACTGGTTTTGTTTTCATTATAGTTTTGCCAGAACATGTGAATTAGTCAGCTCATCTTTTGTACTCAAAAACTTCAGAGCTTGTTCTTTTTGAAGTGCAAGATCATTTTTTCTGCTGATATTAGTGGAGTCCACTTATGTCAGTTGTGCCATTTGCATACCCTTAACGTAGTCTGAAATCTAATATTGCTAGGTTTTGAAAATTTGATAATAATACATGTTTTGCTTTAGGCGTGAATAGTTCTTTGTTACTTATTATTGTCATATGGATTTTAAAGCTAAGCAGTAGCAGATTTAACCTTACTTAACATCTTTATTATTCAGACCTTTTGCAATGAAACTAACCAGAGTTCTAGTTATATGCCACATTTGAGATGTTAAGAAATCTCTGCTGTCTTTTGCTGATTCCTAGATGCACAGGCATTGCCTTTTCCTTGCACCAGCATGGGCTTTTTGTAAAAGGCTTTGCTGGTTGAATTCAGCACCATGATCAGACATGCAAACAGTTCATGAGTGATAAGGCAGAGTGAGACTGATTTCTGTCAGCAGCAAGCCTTCAGCTCAGTTTATGCAGTGCCATGCAGCTTTATCCTGACAGTCTGTAGCTCTTCCATAAGTCTTTTCTGGGTTTATCTTCCAGGTGTCCATTATATTTTTGTGTTTTATTTACTCTCTTTTGAAAGGAAATGAAAGTGGTGCAACTCCTTAGTAGCTGCAGAAAATGTCAGGTTTTATATGCCCTGTAAAGATCCTTTGTCCAGTAACACTGACATTCTCCAGCAAGACTTACTTCTGTAGATTCCCCACATTTTTCATGTGGGAAAGACAAGAACACAAGCCTAAATCCAAAGTTTAAAGTATCCTATTTAAACAAATAATCATATTTGTTTAGCTTATTGGATTTTTGTTTGTTATTTGATTGTTTGTTAGCTTATTGGATTTTTTTTTTTTTTTTTTTTGCTTCTCCCTGGAATAGTCACAAAGAAATTGAAATTACTATTAAATTAATGAGTTCAGACAAACAGACTATAAATTAAATGGTATTGGAAAAGAGATCAAAGTTAACGGTAACAAAATATGGGTACATCAGGTTTACATCAGTGAGTTCTAAATGATTATCAGTCAGTTATTTGCTTAATCTTACTCCACTAATCTGTGATTAAAATAACCGCTTCTTCATATTTTGTGTACTACCAATACAAAAGTCTTTAATGAGTCAAAGCATACTCCAATTTTACACTAAACTACCATAAAAGATCAAATGCATTCCAGTGTTTCTTGTTTATATTCTCAATTAGCAGAATCATACAAAATCCATGTCAGTGATATGCATGTCAATGATAAATCGCCTTCCCCTTGTATTTCTCATTACAGCTGTAATTTACTGGGCCTCTGCCTTAGCTAAAAAATCAATGAGAAAGACAAAGTTGTTAGGAGGTTGTTTTTTTTCCCCTATCATCCACGTATGCAGGCGTCAAGACATATAATGCTTTGGTATTTTTATATGCCCGATGATCCTACCGGCTTATGAACTTCATTTTCTGCAGCTGCAAGAAGCAGGCCACAAAATTTGTGCTGCTTCTTCGAGCATGTGTCTTTCATGTTTATAAATTAGTAAATGTTGGTATAATTCTGACAGTTACTTGCTTTTCTGTCTTCTCTTTTTTTTTTTTTTTATGTTTTCTTTGTTCAGGGAGACTTTCTTAATATTTCTGTTCTGAATTGCCTTACACAAAGCACTTGATTTATTCTTGTTGATCCTATTAAGTTTGCCTGCTACTTTTTTCAGCTTGGGGAAGCTTCCAAGCCCGCTTCCCAGGCTTTGACCATGTATTTTTTTTTCTCTTTAATCCAGTGGTTAATTTTCTGATTGCCTTCTGTAAGCCCTTTTGATTAAGAAAGGTTGTTTATCATGGTCCACAACTCTTACGTTCTTGTTTGGTGGAAGTCACATGGTAGGATATATTAGCTGGGAGGGATGGAAGTCAAATAGTCTAACCTCCTGCTTGACATGGAGCACCCGCCACACTTGATCAGGTTAGCCCTTTATAAGGAAAGGTTGGTTTCGCCAGCTGCATCATCATGGATTGAGTTTCCACTGCCTCTCTGGGTAACCTGCTCCGGTGCTGCTCTGCCTTTCTGAAGGAACAGCCACCCTGAAAATATACATGGCATTTATTGAGAGAATGAAAAGCCAAACAATATTGACTCAAAAGCTGTCCAAGGGAAAATTAGTGTATCTATTAAGATCTGACATGATTTAACTAGAATAGATGATCCCAGCTGAATAAGGACTCATTCTAGTTATTCTTCCTTCCAAGTGCGAGGTCTTACACCTGGGTCGGAGCAATCCCAGGCACAGCTACAGGTTGGGCAGAGAAGAGATTCAGAGCAGCCCTGCAAAGAAGGACTTGGGGGTGTTGGTCGATGAGAAACTGAACATGAGCCGGCTTCAGTGTGCGCTTGCAGCCCAGAAAGCCAACCGTATCCTGGGCTGCATCAAAAGGAGCATGACCAGCAGGTCGAAGGAGGTGATCCTGCCCCTCTGCTCTGCTCTTGTGAGACCTCACCTGGAGTATTGTGTGCAGTTCTGGTGTCCTCAACATAAAAAGGGCATGGATCTGTTGGAACAAGTCCAGAGGAGGGCCTCGAGGATGATCAGGGGACTGGAGCACCTCCCGTATAAAGACAGGCTGAGAAAGTTGGGGCTGTTCAGCCTGGAGAAGAGAAAGCTGAATGGAGACCTCATAGCAGCCTTCCAGTATCTGAAGGGGGTGTGCTGGGGAGAGACTTTTCATTAGAGACTGTAGTGACAGGACAAGGGGTGTAATGGGTTAAAACTTAAAGAGGGGAAGTTTAGATTGGATATAAGGAAGAAGTTATTTACTGTGAGGGTGGTGAGGCACTGGAATGGGTTGCCCAGGGAAGTTGTGAATGCTCCATCCCTGGTGGTGTTCAAGGCCAGCTTGGCCAGAGCCTTGGCTGACATGGTTTAGTGTGGGGTGTCCCTGCCAATGGCAGGGGGGTTGGAACTAGATGATCCTAAGGTCCTTTCCAACCCTAACTATTCTATAATTCTGTAAAGTGTGCTTGCTTTTCCATCAGTTGTTAACAGTTGCTTTGAAGTAAACCCATTAATTAACCAGTTTTTATTACCTGATAAAAGCACTGAGTCTCAGTGATATTCTAGGTAAAACAGTGCTACTGCCTTAAAGTAGCACCTAAATGTTTTCTTCAGCTTACTGTTGATGAAGTCATTGGTGGAATAAACTGAGGAAAGCAATTTAATAAAGGGAACAGGTATCTCAACTGTCAATAACAGATCCGAATATATTTTATCATTTACTCTTCCTTGATTTTTTGGGAGGCCTAAAACTTCTGGATAACCTAAGCGCTGAAAAAAAGCTGGTATTTTCTTACATGGGAAGCTGTGGATTATTCCTTGAAGTATAGGACCGTGAGGAAACTTATGCACACAGAAGATACTTTGCAATTAAACAGGTCTGTCCAGGAAAAAGGCCTTTTTGAAAATTTTGTTGATTCTTGCGAAGAAATAACCATGCATATATGCATGGCTTTAAACTGAAAGAGGGTAGATTTAGATGAGATATTAGGAAAAAATTCTTCCCTGTGAAGGTGGTGAAGCACTGGCACAGGTTGCCAAGAGAAGCTGTGGCTGCTCCATCCCTGGCAGTGTTCCAAGGCCAGGTTGGACGGGTCTTTGAGCAGCCTGGTCTAGTGGAAGGTGTCCCTGCCTGTGGCAGGTGTGTTGGAGCTAGAATGATCTTTCAGGTCCCTTCCAATCCAAGCCATTCTATGGTATATGTGCAGTAGGAGTGCTGAATCCCACATGCCACAGATTCAGTGGGCTGATCTGCCCTTTTCTGGTAAGGGTCAGTATCCCAACCTTCCTTTCCACCCACGGATGGTCAGTGCATTGGATGTGTGCCTATGCAAACCACACACCAAGGAAGGATATTTAAAATTGCTTTACTCTAGGATTAGGGAGGGTGTAAAATGAACTCTTGATGGTATAGCTTTACTCTTGCAGCTGAGTTGTCCTGTTTCACCAATGCAAATAAAATGCCATCCTGACTCCAGAGCATATTCCCAGGGACAGCTTTTAACATGAGTTTTTAAGTGTCACAGAAAGTGTCTGTAAAAGTTTTGCACGTAGGTGGGATAGTGTGGAGTAAATGCCAACCTGAGTTTCTCCCATGGGAAGCTATTGCATCTTTATATGTGGACTGTGCACAGGGTGAGCAGTTGCTCCTGCGTGTATAGTCAGGGCAGGCCAGGAAAGTCCAAAGTGGTCAGCCAGCGCTAGAAATGCAGACCTGTATAGAGCAAGTGACACTGAGTTAAAATATGATAATGGCAGCATCATGGTTTAACCAGTTCATCGCTGAAATGAAGATACAGAAAAATAAAAGGTAATTTCCCTCTGCTTACCAAGTATTTCAGCTTAAGACTGGGAAGGTGACCTTCTGACCTATTGCTTCCTATCTGTACCATTATTTTTAGATTGCTCTTTTATTGTAGAATCATAGAATGGTTTGAGGTGGAAAGTACCTAAAAGACCATCCAATTCCAACCCCCCTGCCACTGTCAGGAACACCTTCCACTGGACCAGGTTGCTCAAAGCCTCATCCAGCCTGGCCTTATCTTGCTTACCCACAGAGCTGTCACTGTTACACAGTGACCTGGACAGTTCTCTCCGAAATAACTATTTCAGGTCAAGTCAGGCAAATAAATTACTTATTTAAATTGTTGTCATAACTTTAAATGTCACTTGCAGGTGTTTCTTTATGTGTTACTTAGTTCTTGCGCAGAATTAAGTGTTTATACATTTGGGTTTGAGAAAGAAAGTTCATCATAGTTTGGAATTTTGACTCCTTTTTTGTGATCCAAACCATTCCACTGAAGTTGTTTTTGTTAAAATAAGGGCTGTTTACAGCTGCCATTAAGAACCAGTGGTTTAGCTGTCCTCATAAATTATTGTATTCTTTCCCTGATAAACAGCTTAGATGGCCAAGTAATAAAGAGCAATCTGGAAGTTAGAGGCTTGTGACATGAGAACTTTTTCATCTTATGAATAAGTGATTTTGCCGTAACAGAATTTCCACTGTCCTATTTTTGGATGTGGAGATAATGATTTTTTGGTGGGAGTTAGTGAAATCCAAGTGCAGTTTATCAGAAACTCATTGGGCTGCCTTCTTGGTATAATATTTCTCACTTTCAGTGAAAGGGTTGAAATTTTAGCTGAATGAAATCAAATTGTTTATGCAACTAAGAGACACGACCACAACAGTTTTTGTTACTGTGGCCCCTTTGCTGTATGTGTTTTCTCATACTTACAACACACTTTTGTGGTTTTTTTTTTTCTTTTTAAATGAGATCACACTCCTAAAAAATACAGATGAGTGTTGTGCCTGCATGGAGCTGCAGTGATGTGACAGAAGGGAAGGAGGTCCATGGGGACTGCACTCTGCCTGTGTTACACTTAATAGGAGAGAGGAGGGAGAAAAATAATCTCCTAGTGTAGTTAAGCAGTAGTTAAGGCTTTCAAGCAGGCTTTAATGTGAATATTAAATATCAGTAATATGAGTTTCTTTTTTCTGCATTTGCTGTGTTTTTCTATAGTAAAATCTTCCTTTAAAATGTGGTTTGGGAGCTAGTTTTGATAAGTATCATCTCAGTTCCTCACTAAAAGCAAGAATTGCTATTAAAAAAAAATACTAAATCTCAGCTGTGTTACCATAAACACTCTGTGTGTGAGCTGTTAGGATGGTAAGTAGAAGTCATGATATATCAAATAGCTTGTATTCATCCTCTCTGTTCCTTTACAGTCCCAGTGGGTCTTTATTATCCTGCTTGGAGCAGGTGAAGACTTACTTGCTGACTGATGGAACATGCAAGTGTGGCCTAGAATGTCCTCTCGTTCTTCCCAAGGTAAAGAAAAACATCATTATGGATCTCTGTACTATAATCCTTATGAGCTATGTCAGCTGATATGCTATGCCATGCTAGTCATTGTTCAGATCATATATATATGAAATGAGATAAATGGTATATACCCAAAGATTTGCCATAAAATTACAAAAATTAATCTGCTCTCTGTCTTTTTCCCTCATGGAAAACATCTGACTCAGGTTTTATGGTGTTTGAAGATTTTACTGTTAAACTGGAAACCTACTGTTGGCGGCATCATGTTAACAGGGGAGAATCAGGGTGAAACACTGATTTATGTGATAGCTTCAGTATCAGCTTCGCAATTTTATATTCTACATACAAATTGAAACTTTTCTCTTAAGCACGGGGCAATCTCAAATACGCATGGTCCTTTCTTTTTCCTCCATACTCTTGATGCTGAGGAGTGTTAAAAGTTCTGTTGCTAGATGACAACTTCCATGGCTGTTATTGATTATTATTGACTTTTTATTTATAAACTTGAAATGTGCTATGAAAGTATCTCTTGGGCAGTGTATGAGCAGTCAGATAGCTCTACAGAACTGTGGCAAGTTAATTCTATGTAAGATTTTTGGTTTAGGTATATTTGGTGAGTTTGCTACCTCTAATGACTATTTTAAAACTGGAATTTTTACTCTCAGGTCTTTAATTTTGATCCTGGAGCTGCTGTGAAGCAAAGAACTGCTGAAGATGTTAAGGCGGACGAAGATGTCACCAAACTATGCATACATAAAAGGAAAATTATTGCTGTGGCTACACTTCATAAAAGCATGGAAGCACCACATCCTTCGCTAGTTCTAACTAGTCCTGGTGGTGGAACAAGTAAGTAAAACCATGCAGAATCATTTAGTTACTTGATTTTAAATATATGTAATTACTATGCAGAACCACCCCTGAAAGTCTAATGTATCTATGAGCAAAATAGTAAACAGATCCATGTTAAAAATTGAGGTAGTAATTAGAGGGATGTAGGTGGTTAGAAAATGAGTCTAAAAAGCAGGTCAGCACAGACTTAAGAGCATGATTTCCTTGGAAAAGATATCAGATTGTTCTAGACAAAGAAAATACATTAGCTCTCATCTTTTGGAACTGTAGTAATATGTCTGATATTCTGTCACATGGGAAATTAGAGAAGCAGAATAAAGTGATTATAAAGGGATTAGAATGTGGCTAAGGACTTGACTAAATGGGAAATTGTATTGCAAGGCAGAATATACAGTAAGAGAAGATCTCCACTGTACTTTCCGAAGGATTATTTGGGGGGACCAACCTAGATTAGCATCTTAATGATCTATATCAACAAAAAATGAGGCAATTTGTTGATGAGTGAAGTTGACAGGTGTTGGCAAAACAAGAGAAGATCAAAACGTGTTGAAAAACTGGGGGATCATCGAGACCAGGAGTGAAAAGAAAAGGTATAGCAACAAATCCTGTTAATTGTGAGGTCATTCACCTGGGGACTACTGAAAAAAGCTGTTAGCTGTAAATTATTGAGAAAGAAGACCTAGGTATAGTAGCTGATCAAAGATGTCTGTGAGCAGTACCAGATGGCAGTGTAGTGCAGATCAATGTGACTCAAAGAGAAGTACAAATACTGTTGTATGTGTCCTGCCTTCCTGCACTGCTGTTCTCGCTAGTGACACTCAAGCTGAAATAGAGCAGAGGCTTTGCTCTTAGTGAACTGCAAAGCCTGTTTATGGAACTCATCTAAAAGTGTTTAGCTTGTTCAACCTAGTAAAATGGTGGCTGAAAGGAGATGTGATTGCTGGCAATAAAGGCATCAGTAGAATCACAGCAGAAATAAAGCTCCTTAAGCTGAAGGACAAAGTTAGCACTGAAAGAAACAACTACAAAGCCAGAGTTGCATAGAAAGTTCAACTGAAAATTAGGTACTTTGTAAGGATTACAAGAAAAGGTTCTGAAGTAGTCTTACAAATCCAAATGGTTAGGACAAAGGGGTGAAGGTTACTTCTAAGACAGAGGTTGGAAAGTTTATGGTTATATACTCTGGTACACACAACTTCTGGGAAATGGCCCTCAATAATCTGACAGTTCTTTTGTGCCCCTATATTGCTGTAGTAATAGCTGGCTAATTGCTAACCACTTTGTAGCTTGACTTCAAAGTGGAATATTTTAAGAGCATAAAAATAAATAATGTATTTCAGATACAGAGACAATGCTAAGAAACCAGTGCTGCTTGTAGTACTGATGTGCTCTTATATTTTCAAACTGTTATTTTTTATTTTAAAGCTGTGTTTAAATTGGTTTTTGCAGTGCATTTTTTTAAACTATTAGTGCAGTTTTCCAAATTACTATGCACTTTCTTTTTTTATTCTTTGACTCATACTTAAATTACTTTTTTTTTAATTAGCAAAATTAAGGAGGTAAACCCAGCTAAATATTAAAGACATGAGTCACATTTATATGGTCTTTCTCTGTTGATCAGAATTTTGTGCACTAAGCAAAGAAGAAAATTTCCCTATAAATTGGCTTTTGAAACAAAATGTCTCTTCATTTATGCACACTTACATTTGACCGTATGCTTAGGTCCAGCATTCAAGGTGAGGATTCTCGTACTTATTTTGGTTTGCAGTTCAGTCTTGAAATATATCCCCTAAAAGAGACTTTGGCTGTATTATGGGAAAAGTAATATGTTTGTTTCTGTCATGATGTAGCTGGTTGAGCAAATAGAATGAAGGCAGAATTGTCAGTGCCATCTGTCCCCTATGGTCAGGCTGAAGGAAAGAAGGGAATTGGGTTTTTCTGAGTAGAGGAATTTAAAGGCATCTCTGAACTCATTTGAACATGAAATCTTCAACTTGTTATTCAAGTTTAAATTTACATATTCAGAGGCTGCATGCCAAGTACTACAAACTGAATTACAAATTCCCAGAGCAACAAAAACTGGCAGAAAGTCCGCCAGACTTGGAGAGACTTTTTTGGTGGTGTTTTTAAGGTAAAATGTTAAAAAAAAAAAAATCTTTTTAAGTAAAACTGATACTAGTGGGCAGAAAATGGTAGTGGTCTTCTGCTGGTAGGAAGGTCTAGTCTTGAAACTGGGATATACAGGAAAATTTTCAATTGTAGAGGGGTTCACATGTCTGCATACATGAAAATATCCCCAAGGCCTTTATTCTGAAAACAAACATATAAGGTAGAGCCCCTTCTTAAATTTAGCATCTTCACCCCAGGCAAAGCTAGTTGCAGAAACTGCAGGAAAAGCCTTAGTTCAGTAAAGGAATGCAAGACATGATGTAACGTATGTCCTCACCTTTTTAGCACAGCAGTTCCCAGGAACATATTAACTCTGTGGACTGGAACTCAGTGCCCTTGGTACCAGCAAATGATGTGGAGCAGCCAGAGAAGCTGCATCCTGCCTTGCAGAGCCACAGTCTCTTCAGTCTCTCCAATTAAGTGCTTAGCTGAGTACAAATTTGGGCCAAAGTCATATGGCACAGATCCCCATTCATCCTCAACAGTGACAGTATTTAGTGCAGGACCCTTTTCTGTGTGGGGTGAAGACAAATTAGTCTAAACCCTTGTTGGGCTTTGTTCCTCCTGCATTCAATAGATGGTGCCAGAGGCTCCTTTTCCCTTCGACAGTGATAGCCTGCTGCTCCTGCCAGCGCTCTGAGCAGCAGCCACAGCGGTGATGCCAGAGATTCAGGAGTAGGACACCAGAGATGATGGTTAGAAAGAAACGACAAAAGGGAAGGAAAACGATGTAAAGTTGTCCGTATTTAGGCAGTCTTTATATGGAAATTAAGGTCTATACTATATACTAGGGTAGCATGCACCATTCCACAAGTACTTGGTGATTTAGGTATTATATCTGTTGAGGCAAAAGTTTAGCCAAAAGGGTTTCTAGCTTTTGTGAATATTTTCACACACAGCAGTTTTGCACTGAAATGTGTGATACCAGATTTCAAAACAGTAACTGTTGTGTTTTTAATATCAGGTGCAACTCCAGTAGTTCCTACTCGAGCAGCAACTCCAAGATCAATGAGGAATAAATCACATGAAGGAATTACAAATTCTGTGATGCCAGAATGTAAGACTCCTTTCAAGTTGATGATAGGGGCATCTAATGCCATGGGTAGGCTTTATGTGCAAGAAATGGCTGGAAGCCAGCAACAAGAACTTCATTCTGTCTATCCTAGGCAGAGATTGGGTAGTAATGAACTTGGACAGAAGTCTCCGTATCGTGGCAGTCATGGTGGGATGCCCAGTCCAGCTTCATCAGGATCACAGATATACGGAGATGGCTCAATCTCTCCTAGGACTGACCCACTTGGAAGCCCTGATGTTTTCACAAGGAACAATCCCAATTTTCATGGAGCACCCAACTCTAGTCCTATTCACATGAACAGGACACCTCTGTCTCCACCATCAGTAATGCTACATGGTTCTCCTATACAGTCATCCTGTGCAATGGCTGGAAGGACTAATATACCTCTTTCCCCAACCTTAACCACAAAAAGCCCAGTAATGAAAAAACCCATGTGTAATTTTTCAACTGGTATGGAAATACCACGAGCAATGTTTCACCATAAACCACCCCAAGGTCCACCCCCACCTCCTCCACCACCTTCTTGTGCTCTTCAGAAAAAGCCATTAACATCGGAAAAGGATCCACTTGGCATACTTGACCCTATTCCAAGCAAACCAGTGAATCAGAATCCTGTTATCATTAACCCAACTACTTTCCATTCAAATGTCCACTCTCAGGTACCCGTGATGAATGTAAGCATGCCTCCTGCTGTTGTCCCTTTGCCAAGTAATCTTCCTTTGCCAACTGTAAAACCTGGTCACATGAACCATGGAAGTCATGTTCAAAGAGTTCAACATTCTGCTTCAACTTCCCTCTCTCCTTCACCAGTGACATCCCCAGTTCATATGATGGGATCCGGGATTGGAAGGATTGAGGCTTCTCCCCAAAGATCACGTTCTTCCTCCACATCATCAGATCATGGAAATTTCCTGCTGCCTCCAGTAGGACCACAGTCATCCTGTAGCGGAATTAAAGTTCCTCCCAGGTCCCCAAGGTCAACAATAGGGTCACCAAGACCATCTATGCCATCTAGCCCTTCCACCAAGCATGATGGACTTAATCAATACAAGGACATCCCTAACCCATTAATTGCTGGAATGAGTAATGTATTAAATCCTCCTAACAATGCAGTTTTTTCTACTGCGTCAGCTGGAAGTGGTTCCTTGAAGAGTCAGCCTGGTTTGCTGGGAATGCCTTTAAATCAGATCTTGAACCAGCACAATGCTGCCTCTTTTCCAGCAAGCAGTTTACTCTCAGCAGCAGCCAAAGCACAGCTAGCAAATCAAAATAAACTTGCTGGTAACAACAATAACAGCAGTAGCAATTCTGGACCTGTTGCCAGTGGTGGCAACAATGAAGGACATAGCACTTTAAATACCATGTTCCCTCCCGCTGCCAATGTGCTTCTACCAACAACTGAAGGGCAAAGTGGCCGAGCAGCACTGAGAGATAAATTGATGTCTCAGCAAAAAGATCCTCTGAGAAAAAGAAAGCAGCCGACCACCACAGTGTTGAATTTGCTAAGACAGTCTCAGTTGGACAGTACTGGAGTTTCCAAAGCTGGATCTGATTTGATAAGAAAGCAAAGTCAAAGCTCTTTTCCCATCAGTTCCATGTCCCAGCTACTTCAGTCCATGAGTTGTCAAAGCTCTCACATGAGCAGCAATAGTACCACCAGCTGTGGGAGCTCAAATACTGCTTTACCATGCGCTGGTAACCAGATGCATTTTGCAGACACCAGTATGAACTCTGGCAGTCTCCAGAACTCACTGGCACAGAGTTTACCCTTGCGAGGGGAAGGTGTGCACTGCCAGAACACAAACACTAACTTTGTCCATGGTACTAGCCCAGGCACAACCAACCATCTTGCAGGTTTAATAAATCAGATGCAGGCTAGTGGGAACTGTGGGATGCTCAGTCAGTCAGGAATGGCTTTAGGAAATTCATTACATCCAAACCCACCTCAGTCAAGAATCCAAGCATCCTCCACTCCAGTGATACCAAACAGCATTGTTAGCAGCTGTAATCAAACAAGTCCTGAAACAGGTACGTTTCCTTCTAAAAGGATACCCCTATGTTTGACTGACTGGGAATATATGATGACTGTTTTTAAACGGGTTCCTCTTACATATCTACTTTTTTAAACTTGGGTTTACCAATATGCGAAGTATGCCTATTTTATGCTGATACCCAGATTCTCAAAAATAAAAGAAACAAAAAACAGTGGAAGACTAAAATATATCTCCTGTTCTCTAAACAAAATCACCCTGGCCTCCTTCCTATGACAACTCTTTCTTCTATTAACTTCCACACACTCTGCATAAGTGAAATCTGTCCACTTCTGTACATACCGGAACCACAACTTTTGTCACTTGCCCAAATAAATAGGGTTGTTTTTTTTGCAGCATGCACTGCTACTTCAACCGTAGAATGCCATGGCTGAGCTGGCAGTCTGTGTCCAGACTATACATGTGTTCTTTACTGCTTGCATTAAAGAATTGGTGTTATAAGAAATGAGAGCAGATACTAGTGCAAAAGTTTACATACAACTCTTTTCAAGGAGAGCACTGAGGAATCATAGAATGGTTTGAATTGGAAGGGACCTTAAATATCATCCAGTTCCAACCCCCCCTGCCATGGGCAGGGACACCTTCCACGGGATCAGGTTGCTCAAAGTCCTGTTCAACCTGGCCTAGAACTCTGTCAGGGTTGGAGCAGCCACAGCTTCTCTGGGCAGCCTGTGCCGGTGCCCCACACCTTCTTAGTGAAAAATTTTGCTGAATCTTTGTTTGCCTTTAACATCGTAATTTTACTAAGCTGGTAATTAAGTGGTTGAATAAACTGGAAGTGTGTAGAAAGAGATATCCTGGTTTACTGATCAGTGAAGACTTGGAAAGGAAACAGGTATGCTGCTGTTCCTAGCTCTGTGCTTCTTAAAGATAAAAATGACACAGGTCAAAAATGTGTATTTCATTTAACTACTACTGGTTGAACAAAGGATGCAGTTTGAAAGATGGTACTGTGTTAATTTCTTAACCAGAAAGAAACCTTACATTTGATATTTCAGCTTGGTTAACTCGCAAAGCGTGTTTGATACAATCACAGCTAAACTACCTCAGGTCAAACGAAAGTGACTGTAAGCATGCAAGCTGTCTCTCTCATTAGCCCAGGAAAGGACCTCGTGTATTCCTGAGCTTCCTCCCTGAGAGCTGCTTATTCTTTAAAATACAGAATAGAATTATATAAAAATAATTTTCTAATACTATGCTGGTCACAGTTTCTGATGATTTCTAAGTGTTTCTCCCCATTCCTGATGAAAAAAGGTAGTCTTTTTTTCCTTAGCTATATTGGTGGTTTGTGTTGCTGGCAAGCAGCTATTAATCCTTGCATGGCTGTTTTGCCTTGTCTGTCTGACCAAGAGACGTATTTCCTGGTACAGTCTGTCTTAGAATTCTGGGATTTAGTAATCTCTTCTGAACAGAACAACGATCTGGGATTGCCTTAGGAACTTACTTTCCTGTCCCACTAAACATACTACAAAATCCCTTTAGCAGGAACTCTGTTGAGTTCAATGGGGACCACTGGTAACGGGTTCTTCTGCATTCAGTCACAGAACAGTTTGGGTTGGAAGTGATCTTAAAGATCATCTGGTTCCAGGTGCCCTGCTACAGGAAGGGACACCTTCCACTTTATCAAATTGCTAAAAGCCCTGTCCAGCCACTGCAGTATTATTGAAGCATTGGAATACTGTCAGCTTGCCCTCAGGAGAATAGAAAGGACTCAGTGTTACATGAGTTAAGAGCCTGTGTGTCAGCAGTTACCATCAAGAAGCTGAGCAGTAGTAATTCACCCTGTGTGGGGTAAAGGTTGTGAAAAGGTTCAAGATCAACAAGAGTTTTACATTAGATTAAAGTTATAAATAAAATGTCATTTAAAGACTATTAAAGTGGGCTTCTGAGAATGAGAACCCAGGTTTATTCCCATGTTGAGTCTTGTTCCTGGTCCATCACTGATACAGCCTGAATCTGTAGCCATGCACTGCGCTGATACGGCAGTAGCTGGGACCATGCATGAAGGCTGCCTTTGGCTTGATGGAACTGATTGTCATCATACCTATGCTAGTCAATCAGAGCCTTTGCCTGTATTGCCAGTCCTTGTCTTCAGGCAAGCTGGATTTCTTTCTGAGAAGACAAATGCGACAGAACAAATCTGTGCATGTGTCAAAGCCCCATGAAGAAAGGTTTCAACATAAACAGCCAATTCAGTCCTCATAGGAAGGGTAACATGTGTATAACCCCACCTAGAAACTTCTGCTGTGGGTTTCCTACAGAATGATATTTCTAATACCCTGGTGTGATACCTGATAGAATTATAGCAATATAATTATAGGGCCTTAAACTGACAATTTTTTTCTTAGCTAAGTGATAAATGGTCGTCCTGTGTAAGCAACAACTAGGAAGAGTTCTGTATATTCTGTTCCTCACTACTGGAGGGGTTTGTTTCTTTAGTTTTGATGCTTTCAAAATGCACACAACCTGCATTTAATTATTTTATTAAATATCCATGCTAGCTAGGAGCCTAGAGACCTCTTTTCTTTAAGATGAAATTTCAGATGCTGTTACCATTACGTTACACCAAGGGCAGGGCCCTGAACCGGAGCCTAAACCTTGATCCAGCCTCCTGCCCAAGTCATTGCAGCAGCAGCACAGGGCTCAGGCATAAGATTTAAATCTCATCCATAGCCCGTGAAAATCCAGTTACGGATATTTTGTTGTGTTTGCAGAAGAATGGAAGCATTCTTTCCATGAAACAAGTGTGAAATGTTGAGTATTTTGCATTAATAGTAACCTTTGAAAAGCAGGTAGTTAGCAGTCCACATTCAGTGCTGTAGACAAAACTATTAAGAGGTATATAATGAATTATTCTGACATGGAGAGTTGTTAATTTAGGTGGATGGAGCTGAGCAGTGTCAAACATGTTGTGTGAAGCCTGCTTTAAAGAGCAGTTGAGCTGAGTAATATGTCTGCAGGAAACTCTTGCCTTTGTATTTGAGTTTGTGGCTTGCTTTTGCTTTTTCTTTTTTTTTTTTTTTGCTTTGTTTTTAAGCATTTTAATTGCTAAATCTGTTTTCTGTTTCTGTGCCAGCATTCAGAATAGCTACTAATCAGAAAATAGTTCCTGAGAGAAAAAATACCGAGAATCACCACAATTAGATAGCTGGTTATTGCCTAAGCTTTTAATTATATTTTAACCACATGGACCAAGTTTTATTATTCTAGCTTTTGTTTTCTTCTTCCGCAGATAATATCTTTAGTTTCCAGGTAATTTTCAGCATGAGTGCAATGGAATTATAAATGAATAAATACAAAAATAAAATACTCTGTTTATGCAGTAAAAGCTTCTGAGGTTTTCTGAGTTTGAACCCTTGAAAACCGGTTATGAGCAATTAATTTTTATTAACAATTTCAGTCCCTCAGTTGTATTTGGGTTACAAACACTGTTTAATAACAGCTGTCTTATGGAAGAGCTAGGAACAGGTCGTATATGCTATTTAGGGCTGTTCCTTTGAAGAGTCTGTTTTCTGGCAGGAGACTGGGTTCTATACTCATATTTTTTCTAATACCTAGTGTTAATTCTTCTGTTAACCTTTGATGCTGCGTTCCTCATTAATCAAGCCCTCAGATTTTTCATACTCACTGAAGGTAGAATCCAGTTTAGCAGCTTTAAGATTTACTTATTAAGCCACTTTGCTTCTCTTTGGATTTGTCTCTTCTGTTTGTAAAACAGAGCTGCATCACTGTGTGATGTATTTTATTGTAGTCTGGGTTAATTCGTATTTTCTCGCTGTTAACATGTGCCATTAGTCCTGATGTTCACAGTGTAGAAAAATCTCTGTGTGTTGAACATTCAACAAGCGAGTCCTGCTAAGAATGCAACATGCATAAATAATGGGGTAGATGAAAATGAGTGAAAAAAATACTTGTGAGTAAAAGCTGTATACAGCTGATAAGGAAATCAAGGGAACTAATGTAATAACCATAGCTGATAGAAATAAAGATAAGTTGTCTCAAATATCAGAACATCAGAAATAGGAGAAACTCTAAGAGTTTAGTAGTAACAAATAAAGGGCAGATTTGGCAAAGACTCAGAATAGCAATTTTTACTGGTGAAATATAGAACAGAAAATAGTAAAATATAATTAAACAGGGAGGAGCGCACAGGACTAATACCAATCAGTGAGGAGCTTATATCCCACTCAAACAGGATTTATTTTCATATGGCCAAGTACAGTGTGCTATAATTGGGGATGGAACTTTGCCTTGGAAAACAGTGACTCAGAGAAGGTTTTTAAGAGGCTTTGATTTAATAGACTTAATGCAAACTGTCAAGTCAGTGATGATGCAAAACCAAAAAAGACAAAAATGCTGGGTGGATCCTTGGAAACATAAAAGTAGGAATACACAGTAGAACTTGGCATGCTCGTGGCTCTGTCTGTAGTTAAGAAAAGCAGAGTTAGGAAGTGACATTGTGACTCGTGGTCACTGCACATGAAAGGTATGGAAATACCAGAAATTTTGAAGGAGAGCAGCAAAATTTACATGTGTAGTTGGCTGTGAGACCTTGGGATGTAAACCCTGGAGGCAACGTCTGTGCTCTTGTTTTGACAGAAGATCCTGCAGTCAGGCTCACCTCTCACATTTTGATCAATGTCGGCAGACCAGATGCCAGGGTGCCAACCTGAATATAAGATACTCCAGCACTTGGGAATTCCCTGGAATCTGCTCTTTCAAATAAGTGGCAAAGGAATAGTATCTCTTCCTACAATTATTTATTCTTGGGCAATATCTGAATATCATAGAATGCTAGGTTGGGTAGGACCTCAAAGCCAAGCATGGCCTAGATTTGATGTCCCAGCACCCTGTCCAGCTGAATCTTCAAAGTGTCTGCCATAAAAAGTGGAAAACTGAATTATTTTTACGTTGTCAGACATTTGCTGGCAGCTTCCAGTGGCTGAAAGCTGGTACATTCATCATCAAAGAAACAAG